ATTTCCAATGATGCCTCTTCATTTCCCCTTTCCTTGCCACTTCCCTTCTATACAAACATAGAAAAAGAAGATCAAAGGAAAAAAAATACACCTCATGCAAAGTGCTGAAGTGCAACTTCTCATATGCTTTTGCCTAAGACCATCGAATCACTTTCTTAGCTTCTAGTTTAGGTAATTTATATTTCTCAAAAGCCCCATTTTATATTGTAATAAGTTTCCATACAAAAAACATTAGCCATAAATGCCATATGAACCTTCTGGTTCCACCACTATGTTTCTTACTAGATGGGCTTTAATATCTTTCGACTCTCTTAATATCTCCTTTAGTTAGCGACCTCATTCCAATCATGTTAATATTTTTGTCTATGTTCCATTTCCCTTTTTTCAATCTCTATTAATGAAAGTCAATTGTTTTTCACCCTACACGTTCTACCATCTCCCATTTTAATACCCACCCCAGCACCATTAACCTATGTTGTATATTAGGCAGTCATCATGAAGTACTTCACAATCCTTGCATAATGACCTATATAACACTGAAGGATGAAATCTATCACACTATTTTCGCCCATTTGTAGAACTTAATATATGTGTCCTTTTGAAGTATGTATTGGCCAACGTTGAATCATGCTAATACCTTCCAAAACCTGAAATGAGGTCTCATCTAATGAGGCCCATAACCCTGTATCTGAACCAATGGCTAACTCTAGTTCAACACTAGAATGCGATTTTTTAATTGTATCACGGGATGAATATGCTGAGTTCTTATCTTATAAACAGGCCACTTCCACTTCTATGGCCTCTCGTTCAGTCATGTACATATTCTTACTATTTGTTGTCATCATTTTACAGTCCATAGATTACAGATTTTGGAGTAACCAAACACTTGATTGGTTCGTCTACTTCTCTTCTTAATTATCATTCTGTTATTTCTTCCAAATATGTCACTCTTGCTAATGGTTCCCGAACTAGTGTTGCAGGCTAATATTTTAATGCCCATCTTAGCCCTATAAGCATTAAATTTCCATAAAATAAATCCATCCAAATTTCTTTGCTGGCTATGATTAAGAGAGATAGAGATGGACCTTTATTTGTTGTTACATTTATAGATGGATTCATGCATTTCAGATGTGTCTCCGATTTTCTTAAGTTGAAAAATTGTGTTGATTTAGACTTTTCCGAAGTCAAGTAGAAAATCAAATTATGGAAGTTGAGATTTTGAAAATTATTTGAGAGTGTGAATATCTATCACAAGAGATCAATGATCTAAGTAATTAAAGAGAAATTCTTATTGGATTAACTATTCCTTGATCATCAATAATTATATAGTCTATTGGGAAGAAAGAATTAAATATTATTGAATGTGATGAGAATTGAGATTATGCAGTCCAATTTATGTATTTTCTTTTGGGAAGAGTATTGGTTAACTGCAACACTTCACTGAATGGGGTTTTCTCTATGTTATACGTTTAGAATATACAAACTTTGGACACATAGATAACCAAATATGGTTTATTTTAGACTCATAATCGACTATATAAGTTCTTGATAATAAGTTTGGAAACATGAGTTTATTAAAAACAAGATGTATATCTGAGATACACATGACAATCCAAAATGGTACTAAAGTAAGATTTTGGATGGATATTTGGTTACAAGATGTGACATTTGACATTTTTTCCTAGTAGGGGAGAAAATTTTGGAGAATATTATTGAAATTGATATTACGTGTATTGATGAATCAGTTTTAAATAAATAAAAGTTGGTTTAAACTTCTAATTCACGTTGGATTAATCTAGTTCCAAGTGGGAACTATCTAAAAACTATTTAATTTCAATAATTATTGGTTCCGAGTTGGAGTTAAGAGCCATTTAATTTCAATGATTCTTGGTTTAGAAAACTAGTGGAGGAATTTGAGGAAAGTGATAAAAGTATATATGGAGTACATAATTCCAATCTAATTTGAGATATAGTTGAAGTTCTAATTGGACATTATGTTTATTGAGAACATTTAGGTTCTTAAAAATTAAGTAGAAGACTAATGAGTTTATGATAGATAAAGCTCATTTTGAAGAGAAATGTTATACTCAATATAAGTATATTGAGTTAAATAAACATTTTTCTTAGCAGTGAGATTCAATTCTATATGCCGATGCTAGCCATAATATTGTGTTTAAGTTTAGATTAAATCAAATAGACTTAGAGACTATAATTCCATTCTCAATTGAGAATTGATCGAAGAGATCTATATGAATCAATTTGTCGATTTCATGTTGAAGGCTTTTATAGTATTGTGGTAACTTTATAGTTACACTTGTAGCTTAAATCTCGTATAAAGGTCTGATGATAGCTTGTAATTCTATTTTTGATGGGTTGATATTATGGCTAAGCATGAAAAGGATTGCATTCAGACCATTTTGAAATGGTTGTCTTCAATCTTTGAGAAAAAGGACACGTGCTTAGCAAATTGTATGTTTTGTGTTAAAAAGATTATTCTAGTCTTACTTTGCTACAAGAGTTGCACACTATAAAGACTAGAATATTTTTAACTATGAAATTACTACATTGTTGATACTTCTATATCGAATAACGATCGAGTCTTCATATATGTCCAAAGACTCCATAAAGCATAAAGAAATATCTAGAGAACCATATTTAGTACGATTAGGAGTTAGAAATAAGCTATGATGTATATTCGTCCTAACATTTTCCATGCTAGGGATCTAGTCAATAGGTATCAATATTATTCTTAGAAAGGGTATTGTGATACCCAAATGGTGCTGCCGTTAGTTATTTTATTTTGTTGTTGAAGGAATTACTTGTGATTGAAATAGATATGCAAATGTCGACTAAGGATAAGAGTTAGCCGAGCAAATAGCTATAGGACTTGTGCAATCTTGCTCTATAGCGTAGCAAGAAGTATATCTTGTAGTATATATCTTGGCAACTGAAGAAATTGTGGTATAGAAATACTGGGCATCCAATGATATTAGTTGAGATTATGAGATCCATGATAGTAACATAATTATCTCATGTGTTGAGAATTTCAAGTTTGAGATAGAACCACACATTTAATGGTATTTTTGTGAGAGATATTTGTAAAGAAAGCGTCTTTGTGATATATCTACGTAAATGATAATATGCAATCATCATGTTTTGAAAATATCTAGAGATATGCTTGTTGGTAATGTGGAATTTATAGAATTGCATAGGATATGATACTTAGTGTATTAGAAAAGTCTTAATTGAGTTTTGTATGCCCATAAATGAATAAAATTGGGTTCATTCATAATTTAATGTTGAGATTACGAGATAATGATTTGCAAACACATATAAAGTATGTCGAATATGTTGAGATTGGTTCACTCACACAATCGCCTTAGACACTTTGGGATGTGCTGAATTGAAACAAAGTGATTATGTTATGTATAAGATCGGGTTTGATGAGATTGCAGTAAGTAAACAAAATGGATTTTGTTATCCACTAAACCTGTTTAGCACCCATATCGAGTTCTCGATTTGAGATTGTTTAGAAGAATGAATACACGAAGAACTCAAGTTATGTATCAAGGAACATCTGAACTAGAATCTGTACAATGTTATTTGTTTATAAAGAATATGACATACATCTAAGAAAGGGAGAAAACATTGTTGCATGTGTTTTATACCACGAGTGCTTTTACGGCCAATATTGAGTAAATGAGTGAATGGATCACTGCTTCCTTATTGTGTAAGATCTTGAGGTTTATATAACCTCATACATTTATGACTTTTGATTGTTTCTCAAGATTTTATTTCAATGTTGCTACTTTAGCATCTTATCAATGACTATGACTGATTAAGTATGATGTGGCATGTTTAGGAAAGTAGTTGATCTAAAGTTGAAGGATTCAAGTAGGAAAGGAAAACTAAATTGACCAACATTTATATTTGTATTCGTCATCTGGACAATTGTGTTTAACTATTTAGGGTATAGAACACAATTATGAATGCAATGATGTGTTACTACTGAGTTCAAGTATGTTCTATAAATATTCGAGGGGTCGAAAATACTCAAATTAATGTTGGAAAATGAGTTTGAAAGAATAACGAGATGTAATGTTTCTATAGTACAACTACTATATATCCCTAATAGATTTATAGTACTCTAAGTTCTAATATTATTCGCTGATCACACAATCTATTCCTCGTGTGAATTTTTGTGAGATAAATCTTGAGAAGAACCTAACGTGTGACATTCTTTGTTACTTGTAGTTTAGGTCAAAGACATTATGCGTGAGTGGAAAAATACCGGTCATGGATCACCCATGTGATACCTGACCCATGAGATATCAAAAGGAATGGAAGCATTAGTGTGAATTCTAAATTCAAACCTACAACTCCCCATAATTCCCATTTTAACATCCAATTAATAGTCTATCATTTGGGAGAGAGGAATGATGAAATATGGTGAAATTCGTATGAAAAATATCACCAAAATTGAGAGGCACCTAAAACCACTATTTTGGCATGAAAACTCACAAAAATTTGGCACTTAAGCTTAGGATAATATTCCCCTTCCCTTGTGATTGGATTTGGTACCAATGGAGAACAAAAAAAATGCAAAATTTGAAACTTGAAAAAGCAAAGTAATTCAGTCATTCAAAAGATCTTAGAATTCACCAATTCAACTAAGCATCTTGACCTGAAATTTATGATTATGCATACTGCAAATTATCACACTTAATAACAGGGTACCAGCACATGAAGCTACAAGTAACTTTTCCGGTATTGAACTGTGCAGCAGAAAGCAAAGTAATTGAGAAAAAAAGGATAATAATTTCGTTTAAATAAATATAAATTGTTCACGTATTCATAAAGTAAAGCTTTTGATCATTTTCTGTCTCCTGCTTGGTCTTTAAAAATAATCCCCTCTACAAATTACATGAAGAGATGGTCGAATCTCTTGAGAATAGACATACATGAAGGTACCTGCCATGTTATGATGTTCACAACATTGCTAAAAAAGAAATGTAAATCTATAGCTATTCTTCAGGGAGTCGCAAGCATGATGATAAATACTGTCAACTGCTAGGAAGAACACCAAACTAACTATACAATGGCGCTGTCTCAGGAAACAAGAAAGTGAATTTCCTAAACAAAGAAAAAAATAACAATAATTTATAACTCAGTATGTTGCTTATTTGCTTATAAATTACTCTACATTGCCTGGCAAGGAGGCTTCATCTTTTTCACCAACCTTGTGGTCCCATTTGTCTTTTCATATAAGGGTAAGTTGAAGCTTCTCCTTGTTAGGTTGAGGGGTTGCCACATTGTGTATATTCTCAGAGTCTGTAAAACACTATAAGAAACACTGCCATCAATTTTGCTCGTCGATAAACCATTCTACCATCTTGTCAGCTCCCGGCATCAAATAAACGGGTCCTTCAATACCAAATCTGCACACAGAAGTTGCATTAATGTTATGATCACAACCACATTCAACCATTATGAGAGCGGCTCTCTCAGGGAGGCAAACAATTTGGCTCTATCAAGATGTGCTCCCATACTTATACTAAATCAAAGTAGCATTTTAGTCAGGCATTCGTTTAAGATGTACACATCAATGTAACCTCAATATAAATATGGATGTCTACAAAAAAAGTGCAGTTATATTCCATTTTCAAAAAGAATTATAGAGCTTCATTTCATTGTCTATATAAATGGGACACCTTAAATATCTAATCAAGCCAAAGTAGAACATCAGAGTAGACTCTGAAAATGGTCCTACATTTATTTATGTTCATGCTTAATGCATGGCTTCATTTACAGTGACAAATCACCCTTGAAATGACCTTCTTTCTTGTCTAGTAATGACCTCAAAATTAAGATAATAAGGATCGAAAAAGTGAATGACATCTAATAACGAATGCATATAAACTTCACAGACGAAATAGAGTAATCATTACTTGGGTACAAAAACAATGAAGCAATTTGATCTTAATTTCACTATTCTGGCCTCGGCATTTGCGGGCCTGCAAGAATGTGGAAAGCATTTACACAAGATTTAGACAGCAAGAATAAGACAGTGGGAGAGAGAGAATTGGGAAAATAGAGGAAAAAGTTCGGCAGTCGATACGTTTTTCTGAAATAAATGAGTGTACGTAGCTCAACTGAGGCCCGACCAGCCATCTGTGCATTTCTATGAAGATAATTCAAATCTGTTCAAGAAAACAAATACAAGACATGAAGAATAGCAGTCATTATGCATTGACACTGTTAGTCGGACTTGAAAGGAAGACATTACATGATCAAAACATTAAAGCATTTGCTCACACATCATCACACTAAGAAAGATTGTTCTTGCACAAAGAATACAACAAAAATCCTCAAGATGAATTTGAGCAGTAAAAAAGATTTTTTTTCCTGATAATCAAGAGAAAACATTAAGGTATGAAACCACTAAATTCCTACCTCCCATTCTCCATTTAAGAGCATCTTCAAGAGACTTTTTATTTTTAAAAAGCACATTCTATAATTTGGAGAGCGTATATAAATTTAGAGAGTTAAATTTATAAGTATTCCAAAAGCTCTTATATTTAACACTTAATTTTACTACTCCTAAAAAATATTTATAGTTTTTCTCTAGAATATTTTATTATTTTCCTACATGGAAAATTGAAACGCTTTGAATGCATTTAATTATAGAGAGTGAGTTTGGCTCACCAAAACCTACTTTCTAAATTAAAATATTAATTTAAAGAGTTTCTTGGAGTATGACTTTAATGGTTGACTCTTTAAAATAGAAAATAGAGAGTATCTCATGTTTAAAGAGCCTCTTGAAAATGCTTTAAGATGACATCTCACAAGAGTGGCCTAAATAAAAACTGAAACAGACTACAAAATTTGGAATCAAAAGAGACCTGAATAAACAGCAAAATGATTAACATTTCTGAATCTATTTCAACTTAATGCATGCCCTAAATGACTCCATGAACTATAGAGAAGTGAAAATTTTACATCAACTCAATGCACCGGAATACATAAATGACTGAGCAAAACAAGTTTTCCAATGTAGACATAATCCTTACTGTCAACCATCATCTCCCACAATCTCAAAGTATGGACCTTAAGTTTAATACCTATATATGTAACACCCATATTCCTCCAGTATAGTCATCATTCGATCCAAAATCAAGTTTCAACAAATTCAAAAGATCCATACAATGCCTTTCATTTAATAATTCAATTTGATTTTTTTTTAAATCTTGTGTGAACTCATTGCCACAAAACAGAAATCGTCCGTTCCATCTGTAACATATTTGGCTTCTCCATTTTTTGATATAACTTGTAAACCCTTTCTAGTCCTTAGAATTAAGAAAAGTATAAATTGTATATGATAAACTCTTGCTGTCTACATTACAAAGTAAAATACCCTATTTATAGGGTTACAAATAACTCTAAAAGGAAAGATTGTGTAATAATTAGATAATCAACTAATAAGAAAAATAATTCTACATTAAATATAATAAACGATTATTTTAGACAATATTTCCATATTCCATATCTTTTAACACCCCTTTCCCCCTCAAATTGATGCTACTAAAAGCATCAATTTGCAATGTTGCACTGCAATGGTGATAATACTTGCGTCTGCAAAAAAGAATCCAAACCATAGCAATCAACCATGAAAACTAGTGACAAAGAGACCAAGAACAACAAATAGTGCAGAAACAATCAGTAACAACTCTAAAGCCACTCCAAGAACACTCTAGAAAGCTCACTCCTGAAGAAGAATTTCCAAAGGAAATTCATGAAGTGTACCTATACACACAGTAAGCTCTATCTATAGGAAGAACTCAGTCAAACACATAATTCGTGTTCCAACAAAAGTTCTAACGCCAATATACCGGCCAAGATTTCAGCAATATATCGCTGATCAAGATGCTATATTTGGAAGAAATCCCACCAAACAACCTACCCAAAAAAAAAAAAAAAAAAAAAACCACAATGGTGATCTTCCTCTAAGAATCCAAAATCACACAAGGATGATCCTCTTTTGAGAATCCAAAACTCTAGCTCATCACTCAAGCAATCAAAACATAAATATCATCACTCCCATATCTCCCTCATCCAAATGACCAATCAACAAAATCTCCATGTTCCTTATGGGAAGCAAATCAAACCACATTCCAAACCTTAAACAAAATTTGCCCACAAAGAGAAATACAATTTATAATCTAATTGCTCACAACATATAAGCATCCATTAAAGTCACCAAGACCTAACCCATTTATTAAATATATCGAAGCCCAAAGTAGCCCAAGAAATAAGTCCAAACCAATCAAAGCAACAGGCCCAAGTAAATAACTTTGGCCCAATCATCTACCCAATACACTAATAAAGTGGCCCAAATTGAGAATAAATGCTGCAGCCCAATACACTCATTGTAAACTCAATAATTAGCCTAAATATTGTAGCTCAATAACAAGACCTAATAATGATTGTTTTAACAATCCCCAATAGGTAACCTAAAATAATATATTTACGCCAACTTTGGCCCAAAATATTTCCTTTAGTTGTTCTGCCCTAGCCCACAATTCAGCTTCAAACTCAACCTAAATCCAAAATCATAACCCAAATCCTATTACATACAAACCCTAACCTGGCCCAACTCACGGCACTCACCTGCAACCGCAGCTGCTAGCTTATCAATCCACCACCACCTCTACCACTTCGACACCACCAGCAGCCGCTATTATTGCCTCCATCTTGACGGCTGTAGCAATGTTGTTACACTGGATTCCAAGGCCTCCATGGCTCGGATTAGAAGATTATCAGAGCCCAAAATAATCAACAGTCATTATGTTACTTTGATGAAAGCCCGAAGTGCAGAAGCAGTATCCAAGAGAAAGCTGTCCATGGGGCTGGATCCAATTGAAGTTCTGACTTTGGATCTTTGCAAGGGTGATGATGACCCAGCTTCCGAGTTACTGAATTTGGTTCCTCTATTAGTGATGGGAGTAATTTTTTATGGCAATTTCTTTGTTTGAGGTGAGGGCAGTGATGATTTGGCACTTGGCAGAGGTGGAACTTCCTCGAGATGCAATTCTCTTCTGTCTCTCCAGCTTCAGAGCTTCAAGGCGCTTTAGTTCTGCTTCTTTCTTCTCTTTCTTCATTTTTTGGAGATCAGCTTTGAAGGATCTCAATTGTTTAGCACGTGCTCGGGTGTCTTCCAAGAAAAAAATTGTCCGGCCAATGAAATTCGAAGGTTAGTTTGTTTAGAATCAAACGGTGCTGATACCAAGAAAAATATAAATTGTATATAATAAACTCTGGTTATCTATATTATAAAATTGAAGACTTTATTTTTAGGGTTACAAATAAGTCTAAAAGGAAATAACTCTAAAAGAAAGATTGTGTAATAATTACATAATTAACTAATAAAGAAAATAATCCTACATAATTGGAAAAATATAATAAAAGATTATTCTAAACAATATTTTCATACTTCATATCTTTAACACTTAGCAATGTTTAAAAAGGCTCAATAGGTACCTTTATAAAGCTAGATGTAAGCCTCGAGGCACAAATTGATATAAAAATACACAAATATGTTCATAATTACTACAAGAAGTCGAAACAACCAAGAAGTCTCCTATATTGTCACTAATATTCATAAGGAAATCATCAATATGTTTGATTAAGCTATTATCCTTTTTATTACTATCCATTTCTTCTCGTTCTTTGTCACTATCCTCCATTTCCAATGATGCCTCTTCATTTCCCCTTTCCTTGCCACTTCCCTTCTATACAAACATAGAAAAAGAAGATCAAAGGAAAAAAAATACACCTCATGCAAAGTGCTGAAGTGCAACTTCTCATATGCTTTTGCCTAAGACCATCGAATCACTTTCTTAGCTTCTAGTTTAGGTAATTTATATTTCTCAAAAGCCCCATTTTATATTGTAATAAGTTTCCATACAAAAAACATTAGCCATAAATGCCATATGAACCTTCTGGTTCCACCACTATGTTTCTTACTAGATGGGCTTTAATATCTTTCGACTCTCTTAATATCTCCTTTAGTTAGCGACCTCATTCCAATCATGTTAATATTTTTGTCTATGTTCCATTTCCCTTTTTTCAATCTCTATTAATGAAAGTCAATTGTTTTTCACCCTACACGTTCTACCATCTCCCATTTTAATACCCACCCCAGCACCATTAACCTATGTTGTATATTAGGCAGTCATCATGAAGTACTTCACAATCCTTGCATAATGACCTATATAACACTGAAGGATGAAATCTATCACACTATTTTCGCCCATTTGTAGAACTTAATATATGTGTCCTTTTGAAGTATGTATTGGCCAACGTTGAATCATGCTAATACCTTCCAAAACCTGAAATGAGGTCTCATCTAATGAGGCCCATAACCCTGTATCTGAACCAATGGCTAACTCTAGTTCAACACTAGAATGCGATTTTTTAATTGTATCACGGGATGAATATGCTGAGTTCTTATCTTATAAACAGGCCACTTCCACTTCTATGGCCTCTCGTTCAGTCATGTACATATTCTTACTATTTGTTGTCATCATTTTACAGTCCATAGATTACAGATTTTGGAGTAACCAAACACTTGATTGGTTCGTCTACTTCTCTTCTTAATTATCATTCTGTTATTTCTTCCAAATATGTCACTCTTGCTAATGGTTCCCGAACTAGTGTTGCAGGCTAATATTTTAATGCCCATCTTAGCCCTACTATTGATCCGTGGACTGTCCTTCATGTGCCCGAGTTTCCTTTCAGTTTATTGCCTATTAATAAAATTACCACAATTTTTTAATATTTTGTAGCATTTTATCATTCCTTGTGTGTTTTTCAAGATATCAAGACGAAGAGGATGATTGGCATGGGACACGAAGTTGGTTGCTTGTATTACCTGGATCTTTCACCAATCTCTCATTGAGCTCTCGAGTTTTTTTTCACCCATGCAGTTGCATTGTCATCTTGGTCACCCTTCTCTTCTCACTTTAAAACGTATAATTTTGAGTCTTCATAATGTATCCTCACTTGAATGTGAAGTTTGTCTACTTAGAAAGCATCACCATGTATATTTTCCTTTAAGAACTGTTAGTCATGCTTCTTATTTATTTGAGATAGTTCATTTGACATACAGGGACCAAACAATATTTCTACTAATAAATTTCAATATTTTATTTCTTTCGTGGATGACTATTTTCGTATGACATTGTTGTTCTCAATGAAAAATCGTTCTAAGTTATTTTCTATCTTCCAAGTCTTTTGTACTTTGATCAAAACTCAGTCTAATCAAAAAATTTGTATTTTGCGGTTTGATAATACTAAAGAATACATTCCTTCTTCTTTTATATCATCTCTCTCATCCAAAGACATAATTCATCAAACATCTTGTGCATATATTCCACAAAAAAATGGAGTAGCAGAATGAAAAAATCATCATTTGTTAAATGTTACTCGTGCTCTTCTTTGCCATATGCATGATCCTAAATGTTTTTGGAGTGATGTTGTTCTTACTGTATCCTTCTTGTTAATCGCACGCCATCCTCTATTTTAGACTATGCATTGTCCTTCTCTCTTTTATTTTCCTCCTCTCCATAGTATTCGTTACACCTCAATATTTTTTCAGTGTGTCTATTATATTCATCATTTTGATCCTAGTCATAATAAACTCGACTCTCGTTTTATGAAATGTATTTTTTTTTTGTTACACCCAAACACAAAAGGGGTATCAGTGCTACAGTCTTCACTACAACGCTTTATAAGTGTATATGTCACTTTTGACAAGTCCACTCACTATCTCTCATTATAATAAATCTTTCAAATCTTTTCGAGATCCCGTTAGCTTAACTATACCATATCTACCAACTGGTATTTCTCAAGAACTAGACTCGTCTCTGTCTAATGTACCAAAATTGTCCTCCTCTCATGAGGAACCCTCTCATCCTTTACAAATTTATACTCGACAATCTAAGCCACCAACGCATGTGACCCTATCCATCACCTTGCCATCTATAAATCTTGCATCCGTCATCTGTTCTGATCCTAAGTCATTGCTTATTGCTCTTCATAAAGGTAAATGAACTTATGTAACTAAACATCCTATTTGCTACTATATCAATTTTGATTCATTGTCAACTTCATTTTTCTGTATCACATACCAACTTTCTAGTCCAGTGACAGAAGCTTTATCTAAACCTAAGTGACTAAAGGCTATGGAATTAGAAATGACATCCTGACACGAGAATAAGACTTCGAAACTCATTCCTTCACTGCTCGGAATACGTCATGTTGATAATAGATGTGTCTATGTTTCGAAGTTCAATCCAGATGGGACTGTTGATCGATTAAAAGCCTGACTTGTTGTAGATTACACATGGAACTGTGATATTGATTATGGTGAAGCGTTCTCTCCAGTTGCTAAGATCTCATCTATTTGAGTTTCAATTTCTATTGCTGCTAACTTTGGCTAGCCACTGTTTCAATTGGATATTAAAAATATCTTCCTTATGGTCACTTATATATAGAGTCTTAAATAGAGCAACCACCTGAGTTTATAGGTAAGGAGTACCAAAATTATGTCTGTAACTTGAAAAAGGCTTTATATGTGTTAAAGTAATCACAAAGAGCATGGTTTGAGATGTTTTCTAAGGTTGTCCTGGAATTGTAGCCTGAACTTAACTTGAGCTCTGAGGAAGAGTGTGAATGCTTAGAAGATAGCACACGATTCAAGAAAAAACTGGAAAAAGAGAATTTTAGTTTTTGGCGAGGCTGCATCGAGACCTTGACGACGTTAAGGGAGGAATTCTTAGTCGGAAGCCTTTAATCGTCGACGAGGGAGGTATTTATAGAAGTACAGTGCAAAGAAAAACAGTGAAAGATCACGTTGGAGGTTGTTGATGGTGCGTCAGAGTCGCTTGGAATTAGGACAGAGAGTTCAGCCTTATCATCCAAATGGTTTAGGTCTTCAAGTCTTGGGCCAGTAAGTAATGGGCCTATGTTTAAAAAAGGTGGGCCTCAAAACTGTAATGAATTATTTAAAAATTCTGCAGTTGGGCCTGAAATTATAGGCCTTTATTCAAAAGGGGAAGCAAATGGCTAGACCCAAGACAACAAAAGGGATGACCCTGGTATGAACATTGTCGTAAACCAGGACGAAGACACGTGCTAGGATTTGCACAGAAAATCGATAAATTGGAAACCAAGACAAAACAAGAAAAGTTGTAGATACCAAGTGTCTGTTGACTTCAAACGAAAATATTCAAGAAGTCGAGTGGTGCTTTTAATCCCAAACAGATGGAGCAACTTTACAAATTGTTCTCCAATTTTCAATCGCCAAGCCAAATCTCTACAATAATCCGTCAAGTTCACTAGCTCATAGAGGTAATTTTTTGAGAATCTTAAAATCCACCACACAATTTGGAATGCCCTGGATCATTATCTTTGGAGTTTCTGATCAAATGATGGAGTCCTACCATCTATTTTCTTCATATTCCACATGTGCTGGTAATCTCAAATTAAAGTACTAATGTTTCTCGTCACGGGAAAATGGAGTATTCAAATTTCTAATTCTGTAAATTTAGAATCAGTTCTTCATATCTTAAATTTGTCGTGCAAGTTACCATTTATAAGCCTATTAGCTAAAACTTGCAATTGCTCAACGAAATTATCTCATTGTGTTTTTTAGGACCTATCATCCGAGAAGACGATTAGCAGTGCTAAGGAAAGTGAAGAACTTTATTACTTTGAAAAGGCTTATGAGAGTAAACAGTGTCAAATTAAAATTTGTGATTCTGCGTCTATTCTTAGAGATAGTGAAATTATGTTATGGCATTTTAGAATGGGACACACAACATTCAATACATGAAACATATACTCCCTTCTATTTTCTTGAATGAAAAGTCAGTTAATTTTCAATGTCATATCTCAGAGCTTGCAAAACAGCAACGTACGTATTTCCCAAAATCTATATACAAACCATCAAAGTCATTCACCATGATTCACAATGACGCATGGGGCCCCACATGAGTCCAAGACCATACCTACTCAAAGTGGTCTGTTTTACATTTATTGACGATCACACTCGAACTTGTTGGGTCTACTTACTGTGTTTATCAACTTTCAGTCAATGATCCAAACACATATTCTAATTTGACAAACGAATAATGGCACTTAATACTTCAATTATATGTTGGGAGACTTTTTCCAAACACATGATATAATTCATCAAAGCTCCTCGTCGACACTTCCCCAACAAAATGGGATTGTTGAATGT